GCAGTGGTGACTGACTCGATTTCATCATTTACAACACTTAGTTGAAGGCTTATTTCCACCGCCGGGTGAGGCTAGAAATTGTTGAAAAGGTAGTTCTATCGGTTTTCCTGAATAGCGATCCCCTGTGCGATAGCAGAGAGTCGGAAAAAGCGCTCCTTGGAGTGCCGCTGGTGGATTGTTTGGGTTGTTTCCGTTGATGGGCGCTTTGAAGCGCTGGATAGTCGCTCCAGGGTACGACTCGTGTGTTGCGATCTGCGTCTTCGAGCCCAGTGTGTACGTTTCTTTGTTCGAGTCATGGGATTCGCCAGTGCAGCAACGGGGGGAACAGCGGCAGCGAACGTGTCAGTGATAGAAATTGGAGGTTAGTACTCAAAATATTGCATCAAATAGTAAAATAATTCGTGGCTGCTTTGACGCTTTCTGCGGTTTGATATAAGCACATCTAGAACGTCTTCGTCGTTCATCCACAATGAAATATGAGAACACGGACACGCAAGATAAAAGCAGCGCAGCAAAACGATATGTAGCTGCTCCGGGTGTTTACATAAGCTAATTAAGGTTCCCGTTTCGTGTATCGCTTGTTCATTACTAAAAACGGCTGCGTTGAAATGGGCCTATTGCAAGCAAAAATTTATGAATGGTTCATCATTTCCAGTCACGCGGAAAGCGGTGGAGCTTCAAAACATTGCAGCCGCACGTGCCTTGCCGAATTCCATGCAAGCTACGAGGTCCTTGGGCGGTATTCGACGCTTTCTGTCGTTATTCGTGCACCCTATGCCCGAGCAATGGTGTCCCGATGACCAGGGGACTGTTGCCATCGAAGCCCGTGGCTCTAATTAAGTCTGCGAGTTCAAAACAGAAAAGAAAGCGCGAAAGAAGTTGGGGCACAGCAGACACCCAACACCGGCCAAGCCTCTCAACCGGGACTTTTACTCTTTCTACACAATCAGAAAGGGGGAAAGCGCCGGTAGCCCTTTCCCCTTTTCTCTCTCGCTCTCAAAATGGCGCTACCCACGATAAAACGGTCTATATTCTGTGTACTCTCGTCCCCAGCCATCTAATAGGCGTATCCGGTATGGGCGACGAAAAAATAATCCAACGGTTCAACCTGCAAATAGTAAAAAAATAAAGGGGAGGCAAAACGAGAAAGTGTGACGGTTACGCTTATATCCTAAATGCCTTCTATTGGCGTGGCAAAGGCAAAACAATGTTTTCGCCCATACTGGAAGTGACGTCAATTCAAGATGGCGGCGCACTTGCAGAAAAGGTCTTTTAGAAAGCCTGGCGCGTCGCGTGAAAAGGCGGCCGCCGTAAATGGGAAAGGAGGGGCGGAGAAACGGGAGCGGAGAGAACCTTGTCCGCTAGCGCCACAAAAGAGCGAGCGGCCAAACGCAGAAACAATCTTTTTTTTTTTTTTTTTTTTCTCTTTTCTTGTAGCTATTGTGGAGAGGAGAAACTCAACGTCCACCCTTTCCCGTTTCTCCCTGCGCCCTTTCGAATCGCCGCGCCCGTTTCTCCCGGAGTACGAAAACGACGGTGACGAAAACACAAAAACAAGCGTGGTTCGGGGAGCGGCCGCTCATGACCCAAGCGCTCGCTGTCAAGGTCTGGCCTTTCTGCTCTGCGCTACCATATTGGTCACCGTTCGGCGCGCTCCTCCTCTCCTTTTTCCTGCGACCGCGCGCTCTATGGCTCCGTCGTCGATGTGCCAGGCTTTCTCCGTATAGACCTTTTCCACAAGGGCGCCGCCATCTTGAATTGTCGTCACTTCCAGTATGGGCGAAAACATTACTTTGCCGTCGCCACGCCAAAAGAAGACATTTGGGATATAAGCCTAACCGTCACACATTCTCGTTTTGGCTCCCCTCTATTTTTTTATTGGTTACAGGTTGAAACGTTTTACTATTTTGTCGTCGCCCATACTGGAAGTGACGACAATTCAAGATGGCGGCGCCCCTGTGGAAAATGTCTATAGAGGAGGCTATGCTTTTCCACTTGCGCCGCTCGCGTCAACCTACACCGCCTCTCACCAGAGCGCGCGCGCGCGTCGAGCTTCACCGCTTTGCACCGGAATGCTAGGAGCAGCGGCTGACACGGAGCGCCTGAATTCGAGCAATAGGCTCAGAAATTATGCTCAATCAATACAATTGCTGGTATACTTTCTTTGATCTTGACGGTACTAGGTTTAACCTCTAATTTAAAAAAAGCTATGCAGAGAAATAGCGGATATGCTTGTATTTGATATCATTTTACAGAAATTATTTACACAAGGTAAATAAACTACCGCGTGTAAAACGGGGAGGGGAGTGAGGCTTTATCCCAACTGAAGTGTTGCTATACGATTCATTTTTCAGCCTTTTATTTTTTTGTAACCTATTGTAAATGGAACTTACTCTGACCAGAGCCTTATTTCTAAAAAGAAAGCTCTGTGTTAAACGGGTAGTGCAACGTTTTTAATGTTGAAAGAACTGGCAGTTTGCATTTTTTTTTTTTTTTTTCTTATCCAAGCACAAGCGACCAAAAACGCGTTACCTTGCCCCGATAAGCTTCTATTTCGCTGCGTAATCGCAAAGAAAGAAATGAATTATTTGCCGATCCGCGGCCGCGTGTGGCGGTTACGGAAACTACGATGCAAGCGCCTCTGGGGGATACACGCAAGCGAACAAACCCTGTCCCCCTCCGCTGCTACACTCGCCATCAGCCCCGCGGCGAACCGTCTTTTCTGTCGATCGCTCATTGCCGCGGCCTTCGACGATGCTAATCCTCTAAAGTCGACAATCGCGGAGGAAGCTGTCGGGGTCTCTGAAGAGAGAACTCAAGGAAAAACCACGTGATGCCCCAGAGTACGTCACTCGATAGGCGACGCGGAGAGTTGAGAGGCACTTCGACCTTCGATTTGTTCTATTTTTTAAAACAAAGACTAGCTCTTGCATGAAAATACAAATTTCTGTTCTTCGAATTCCTTAGGTGACACAGATTAATTTCCGCAGTTAATTGGCCAAACTCCGAAAATCGGTGCACCGCTTCTTTAATGAAATGAACGTAAGGGCGCCAACGAGCTGGGGAATATTAGACATGACAAAAACCCCGAGACTGCGGGCAAAAACGACACATACACTAAAAGAAAAACAAACATGACGCATACCCTAAAATGACTTTTTAGTATATGGGTAATTTTTGCCCGCAGTCTCGTTTTTTTTTTTGTTTTTTTTTTTTGTCGAGTTTTGCATTTTTTTGTGCTCCTCGTACTCTTATTACAAAGGTAATAAGCAATATGCTCCAGTATCAGAGAGGAGCCCTTAGTCATTATCAGAGGTAAACTCGTTTCAAAATGCAATCGAATTTTTTTTTTTTTTTTTTTAAGTGATGTGGTAACAGACTTTGGCATCTGCTCTAAAAGCGTCAGTGGCTGCTCCGGGCTAATGTTTTGCCTGCTACAGAACCTGCTCCAAAAGGTTAAATGCCGCTTCCATCACTGGTGCTGCTTGTATAATTGGAATTTTGCTTCGAAGACATTGCTGAAGAGCTCGTCGAACCGTGCGTCCCGGAAGCAGCTGTCGGACGGCCTCAGACACGATGACTTGTTGATCGCCTGTGTTTGTTTGCTGGTCGGGAGACGAGGGCGCTGAGACCGCTTCTTACTCAAGATACAGACCGCCGTCGATTTCTCTGCAGATAGTCTCATCGCGGTTGATCGTTATCTCGCACACTCCATCCCTCTTGTCGCGTAATAAATAGGGTCTTCTCACTTCTTCGTTCGAGTAGCCCAAATAACTGTGTATTGTCCGAGTGACATGAGCATTACTCTTAGAGTACACACTTTAGAAACATTGTGAGGAATCGTTTTCACCTCACGTAACTTCCCCTGCCGTCCACCTTGTGACTACACCTCCAACCGAGCCGAACTCGAGAAACAGATACAGCGCACGAGCACAATTTCGTGACAATACGTTGTATTGTAGTAAAAATCCAGATTTTTAGGTTGGGGTATATCGGCATTTGGGCTGTTAGGGGCGCTAATTCAAGAAGATTACAAACGCTTCTTTTTTTACTTTTGACTTATACCTGATGCACAAACGGTATTTGTAAAAGGCACTCACGTGCAAGAAAGTCAAACGTACAAAGAGCCTGGCTACGCCACTGTTCCATGTAGCGTGGTGCCATAGATTTTACCGAGACAGCATAATCTAGAGCGAGGGTGCATGGTCGCTGGCTCGCTGCAGAAAGCTTGGCGTGACAAACGGCGCTGATGTAACGGGACTCTCCCGTCGTTTTCACGCCCTGACCCGAGATATATTCAAATTCGCTGCGCCTCTGCCGTCACTGACATAGAAAGCCGGCAAAATCTGGCTCGTCCTTTTCTCTTCGCCTTCGGTCCGGCAGCTCTCAAGAAAAGCGTGGCGCGTTTTCTCGCGTGCTCGGAGATAGGGCTGGATGCGAGCCTCGAGGGCGGCTCCAAGATTTACACGTCTACTTTTACTGCATACGTCGCATGTAGGGAGGCGTCGGCGCAAACCGGCGCAACTACCACGAGGCAGAAAAGACCAGAAGTAGCGCGTCCCTTTCGTGCTTCCGTGGCGTCCATCCCCCGCGTGCGCTCTACGTCCCAGATTCTAATAAAATCTGTCAAACCACGTCCAGTTTTAAGTGGACCGCGGCGGAAGGAACGCAAAAGCGGTCCGATCCAACACCCTTGCGGGCGGCCGCCGCGATGTACCGGCAAGCACCGAGTCACTTGGTGCACCGCGAGCTTCGGGATTGGCCCTAGCAACTCTAGCAGCGTCGGTCGCGGTCCAGCCGTGTCCGGGACGGGACCCGTAGAAGAGCGCCGAGACGCACGCGATTTGCCGAACGGAACAAGAGGACGACACACCGCCGTGACCACGAGTGGGCCAGTGTGCCTCACGCGACGTCCACGGCGAGGCCCAGTCGGTCAAGCGTTCAGCGACCGTCTGCTCTCATAAGCGGGCTGGCCGGCGACGTCTTGATCAGTGCGGCAGATGGACGCCTGGTTGCTGGCGCTGCTGTTGGCCGCGGGCGTGGCGGACGCCGTGATGCCCTTCTTCGGCTCGGTGACCTTCATACCGGCGATCAAGGCCATCATCCCGACGGGGACGCCGATCGTGGGCTCCAACGTGGGCATGGCCTTCCCGTTCGAGGTGACCATCCCGGACCCGGGCATGTTCATGAGTCGGATGCGAAATGCGGAGCCAGGCCAGGACCGCTGGATGCTGTACCGGGGCGTCGCCTGGTTCCTCGACCGGCTCGGCGTCGACGGCGAGGCCTGCGTCAAGAGGTCGCTCTGCGAGGTCGCCTCCGCGCCCAGGACGCCCGGACTCGTCGGGGACGTGGTACACGCGCTCTTCACGTGAGTCCTCCGGGTGGTCCTCGCGTCGGCTTCGCACTGCGTGCGTGCCAACTCCTCGCTGATGGGAAGGCACGCGCGGAAAGTAGCGCAGGAAATCGTGGGACGATGCAGGGTTCCCACGGGACTTTCCTCTCTGGCTATATCTAAAAATTCCAGATATGACCATATTAAAGGATGGGACCATATATGGCCCCTACCTGAAAGGTTTGGTGCGCATTTACAGGTGAGGCTCCGCCCGGGAGGGAAGGGGGGGGGGGGGGGGGGGGCTTAAATCCCACGGGCAAAGCGTTGCCCAGATCTGTTTTTATAACCTAATATTTGCCATTTCACAAAAAACAAAAACTAAACATATATAAAAAAATAAAAAGAACAGCCGGTTTATGTCTTTCAAAAAAAAAAGTTGCCCTTGCGGGGCTTAAATCTACCCACATGTAACTTAAATGTAGGATTCCCTTCATCTTGAAGATTACCCGAGACTGTGGTAAAAGATGAACACTTAGTAGAAGAAGAGGGATACCGACTTTTCGACATGAGCAACATCCACCAGTTCGCCTGCACACTCACTGTATTTTCGTTAGGATTCCATGCTTTCAAATAAAATTCCTTGGTTGCGGTGTAATTTTAAGGACAAAAGCGAGCGTTTTCATTCAATCCCTCCTTCGCAAAACTTCATGACGTAACTGGGGATCGACCCCCCAGTGACGATATTTGAATACGGTTTATAGATTGCACCCGAGCATTACGTGCGCACTCGATTTGGGCTCGTGATAATCGATAGCTCAAAGAAGCATTCGGGTAGTGGCCCGTGTCCAATCGCTGCAATGACGACAATAGTTGAATCATAATAATGTCTGGAACTCAGCGCGTGTCCTATGCTTTGCCAGCCCCAGCGCGTGACTTTGATCAACGTTGGCAGCATACACTCATCCCCAGATCACGTGGCCCCTTGTTTTGGCCGCGAGTTGAGGGGATAAACGCTGCTCGTTTTTATTTTTTTTTTCAGCGACTTCTATTACGCTCCTTTAAATTGCGTAATATTTTTTTTCCAAATTTACCTGCCGGCATCGCGTCCATGTGGAATACATACCGATTAACGTTGACGTAGTGACTGCAGAGAATCGTGCCATAAATGAACGCGTTGTCAAGGCTTTTCGAGTGCTCCAATGTTGTGAAGGCTTGCGCGGGCGCATGACTTCATTTGGCGTCTCATTCGCACGGGCTCTCGTGCGAACGAGACGGAAGACCAAGTTACGTGCTCGGAAGCAGGGATTTATACCCCCCCCCCCCCCCCCCCCCTCCCCGAAAAGACTGACACCCCCCAAACATAAACAGCGACTCCCCTCTTTCTCCTGTTCAATTTATCTTCAATCGTAATCAATTTTTTTTTTCATTTTTTTGTGTTTTCGGCTACGATGGAAGTTCTTCACTAGCTCGCCTGTGCTTTTAAACTTTGTCTTCTCCATCGGAGAAAACTTTTTTTTTTTTTTTTACTTTTTACTCTAGGGGAGTTATGTCTTCATACTTTCTAATTTTGAGTCCACCATCTTCGGGCATTTCAGAAGTAAATCATAGGGGGATAAGTTGAGAAGGCAATATATGTTGTCACTTCGAAGGACCAATGAAATATGGCGAGAAAAGAGCTACAATCTCCAATCGAGACTAGCGAGAGAATATAGCTTTGTGAACCTTTTCAAAACTCGAAGCGTTCCTGACGGTGAGGCGCGCGGCAAAACTCTCTCGGTATCGGTTAACCACCAAGTTTCGGTTTCCATTAGTGCGCCATCACGTAGCGACCGAATGCACCGCTTATGGGTCTGTCAAATACGTACCTCGCCACTCAAAGCCTGCCTCTGTGGGCTCAGTCTTAAGAAAACATTTCAGTACTGGTGCAGCGTAATCAATATTTGGTTTAGTGCTGGCCCGAAAGGGTGTTTGGTTTGCCAGCAGTTTGCTCTTTGTCACATCAAGTATAGCCTTACCGGCACCTGGTGTACCAGCTACACTCCTCTCTGTGACGCCTGCGCTCACGAGCGCGAATAAATACTACTGCTACAAAAAACGAGCCGTGGCTTCCCTGTACACGCCCGTTACTGGGAAAAGAAAATAAATTAAACACAGAAATATTGCTCTCACTACTGCACAAAAACAACCCCAACCTCTTCCTCATATCAACATTATAGGGTGACCCAGCTAGGTCACCAGGCTCGATCTAAAATGGACCGTAAAAATCGACGCCTGCACGTAGCAATCTAAACTTTTCGTCAAAGCTGTATTTCACAGGTAGGTTTTTTTCTTGCAAAAATTGCGTAGCTCTTTCTGTAAAAAAAAAATAAAAAAAAAATAAATAAATATAGGCCTAAGAAACTTGCCAGGGTCTACGGCGGGCGGCTACGCAGGCGACCAAGTCCAGTAGCGGGGTGTGTTTGGCGTTCGTATTGATATATGGTGTCGGGAGCAGCGTCCGAACTAGAGTTGCGCATTTGTTTTCCCCGCGCCGCCACGCCGCTATTCGCCGAGATCCATCACGTGAGGAGCAAAGCATCCGTTGGCGTGCAAGAAAGCCACCTTTACGGTCGCTCCGCCGACGTTTCTCTTGCCCCGGCGTATGTTCCCTGCTTTCCGCCTCCTTTTCCTCCTCTTCTGCTTTCCATGCGCGGCGGCGCGCACGGCGCCGCTATTCGCCAAATTTAGTCACGTGAGGAGCAAAGCATCCAGCTCTTGTGGGAAAGCCGGCGCTACGGCCACGCGTCGAGGCTGAATGCGCAACTCTGCTACCGTAGAAAGCTATATACAGGAACTTTACGTCCGAACCGACCAGCGAAAGAAAGCAAACGACACGCAGACGAAATCCGTTGGCAGCAAAAGCACCGTTATGCAGACGCATTTTTTTACTTTAAATTTTGCTTTTATTGTCCGCATTTTTTTTTTTTTTTTTCTAACCAAAGGTACATTTCTAAAAGATTATGTTCATTTTCATAAACCACGGTGGTCGTGAGCCGTCGCGATTAGAGTTCCTGTATAGGCTCCCTACGGGAGCCAGAGTTGCGCATTAGTTTTCCCCGCGCCGCCACGCCGCTATTCGCCGAGATCCATCACGTGAGGAGCAAAGCATCCGGCGCCGTGTAAGAAAGCCACCTTTACGGTCGCTCCGCCGACGTTTCTCTTGCCCCGGCGTATGTTCCCCTGCTTTCCGCCTCCATTTCCTCCTCTTCTGCTTTCCATGCGCGGCGGCGCGCACGGCGCCGCTATTCGCCAAATTTAGTCACGTGAGGAGCAAAGCATCCAGCTCGTGCGGGAAAGCCGGCGCTACGGCCACGCGCCGAGGCTGAATGCGCAACTCTGCTACCGTAGGTAGCTACACAGGAACTCTAGTCGCGATAAGGAGGTAGCGCCATCTATCAATACGAACGCCAAACACACCCCGCTACTGGACTTGGTCGCCTGCGTCGTTGCCCGCCGTTCACATTGGCAAGATGTTTTGCCGTATTTTTTAGAGAAAGGGAGCTACGCTTTGTAACTTTACAAGAAAAAAAAACAAAAAAAACGACCTGTGAAATACACCTTTGACGAAAAGTTCAGATTGCTACGTGGAGGCGTCGATTTTTACGGTCCATTTTAGATCGAGCCTGGTGACTTGGGTCACCCTATATATCTCCCGCCCAAATGTGATGCTGTTAGGAAATAAGTATTCGTAAACCCTCAGATCGTCTGCGACGGAGATCACGCCGAATAGTCACGACAGCGGTCTCCTGCTCCCCGGTAACCCTTTTAGGAGCTTTACGGTCGCTGGTAGTAAACGGCAGCCCGGTTACGAATGTCAAAATACTACAAGCCTGAAAATTGGCAGTCACGCCTATGATCCCTACCATCCGACAATCATTTGCGTAATGCGACGCCACGCGGTAGCTCTGGACGTCAGCCATCGAGTCTTGCGAAATCAGGTGAGTAGTTTCTTACCCGCGCTTAAGATAGGTTTTACGAATATAAGGTCACCCTAAAAAGAAATTAACGTGATAGAGTTGTATACGTAGGCATTCTTGGTGTTACCAGCGCTACAACCTTAGCAATTCCTGTTTTCGCCTGACAGTTCCTTTAATTAAAGTCCAACCTACAAAACGTTTTTCCGCGAGGCAGAAAAATTCTCCTCGCCACCCTTCCCATTTCCTTCTCTCCCACTGCTATCTTGACGGCGGAGGGAATCCTTTTGTTGCTGCATCTTGGGGCTGGACGCGCCAAGATAAGCTCCCGGCTTATCCAGCCCTGAGATACAGCAACAGAAGGAGTCCCCCTGCATCCAGATACCAGTGGGAAGGAGGAAACGGGAACAGTTTCAAAAGGATTTTTTTTTACCCTGCGGTAAATTTTTCTGTAGGTTGTTCTTCAAGCAAATCCTCCCACGAAGGAAAAATAGAGGAAGAGACGGGAGTTTGGTGACAACATCGTCCCGGCGTCGCCTTCGCACGCCGAGGTGACATCTCTCGAAATTTAACACCACTAGCCTCTCCCGTCAATCCTTCGAGTCTGCGAAGAAAAACAAACCAAACGCTCGCAGGTGTAAACTAATCCGCGTTGCTCCTCGAGACCCGAGGTGAAATCAGGAACACTTATCGAGCCCCGAGTTGGCCGAATCGCAAACAAAAATGAAAGTCCCTGGATACCACCGGCACCTCCGGCGGAAGGAAAGGCGAGAGAAATGCTTGCAAGGGAGCGAAAACAAAATCCCCCACCTAGTTAATTTTACTCTGCCATAAAGCACACCGACCCGCGAGCCGACAGACACCCCTGTCAAACACGGAGAGCAGAATGCTAACACAGGCACTGCGACTCTCCGCGAGAAAAGGTCGCCAGGCCCCCCGAGGGTTCGTTGAATTGCGCTGTGCTAATCCAGCCCATTGCCTTCGGGTCCCTAGATGGCAAGCTTGAAAACAGAAACTTGAGGGACCAAGAAGCGCTTCAAACAAATAAACGTAAACACAAAAATTGTGAGCCATTCCACTCTG